GGTCGCGGGTTCGAGACCCAGCCGCGGCAGACAACATCTTTCTGCTTGCGCTGGGTATGGAAATTATATAATACACACTCTAGAACATTTTCACCTTAACATATTACGGAGTGTACAATTACACAACTCAACATATATATATATATATATATATATATATATATATATATATATATATATATATATATATATATATATATATATATATATATATATATATATATATATATATAGTATATATATATATATATATATATATATATATATATATATATATATATATATATATATACCGGGTGTCCCAAAAAAAAGTACTCCGGTTTGATTCGAAATAACTTCTAAACAAGTAAAGCTTTTAAAGAGAAATAACTTGCATCAAATAGAGGAAGGACTAACTTAGATTTTGATATATTACAGTTGTATTTCACTTAAAAATTCACGGAGATATTAATGTTTAAAATCGGGAGCATATTTCTTGATGTGTCTGAAATATGCCAAAAACAGCGTATCAAATATTAATCAAGATTTACCCGACTGAAACATGCACTATTACCTGTAAATAAATGACACTTGACAAATTGTTTATTATGAAACAAAGTATTATTATCTACAAAATACAAGCAAAATTTATTCGTCCGAAATCCGCGTGTGTTCCTAGCACGAATACGTTTCCTTATTTCATGAGACCACTGCATCGCGAAGGATCGTCATGGATCGTTCGTAGTTCTGAATTAGGGCACGCTGTCACATTGGAATTGTGAATTTTCTAACTTCACATTGAATGAATTTTCTAACTTCTGCAACGTTCTGAAATCTTGTTAAGAACACCCAAACTCTTTTGCCTTTCTTAATCTTGGCAAGTTCAGAATAAACTGAGAATGAAACACAATCAAACCATACAACTCCATAAGTAAAGACATAACAAGCATGCAACTCCCCAGAGACATCCAACATTTTTGGAACAAAACGTAACAAAATAGTAGCTTTGATACTGTGATGTGTATTTGCAAAAAGCAATATTATTTCCTCCATTAAAGAACAATATTAATCCTGCTCTAACCGAGAAATAATCAACTTTGTTTTGAACCCATGAAAAACATAAAAAATAGGTTATTTAAGAAAAATTGAAGCGCCTGCCTTGCATGGTCTTTCAGTACCTTAAGTTTGCAAAGACCTATTAAATACTTACATAATTTCGAACGTTCATATTTCAGGAAACAATAAGTTAAGACTTACATGTAAGATGTCTAAATCTACGCCATATCCCTTACAAACCCTAACGACAATTCGCTGAAATACAATTTACCCTGATATGTCATTAAGCAAACAAACGCTGGAGTTAAAATTTGATACGCCGATTTTCGCTAATTTTAGACACATCCCAAAATATGCGCCCGATTTTGAACATTAATATCTCCGTGAATTTTTAAGTAAAATACAACTGTAATATATCAAAATCTAAGTTAGTCCTTCCTCTATTTAATGCAAGTTATTTCTGTTTGATAGCTTTACTTGTTTAGAAGTTATTATAAATCAAACCGGAGTACTTTTTTTTGGGACACCCGGTACATATTATCTATATATATATATCTATATATATATATATATCTATATATATATATATATATATATATATATATATATATATATATATATATATATATATATATATATATATATATATATATATATATATATATATATATAAATATAATATATATATATATATATATATATATATATATATATATATATATATATATATATATATATATATATATATATATATATATATATATATATATCGAAATTGCATGAAACTCTGAGTAGCAACATGTACAATTTTTAAGATTAAATAAATATTGCTCTACAAAATTTTGTGTTGAGCACTCTTCAATCTACTACAATAACAAAACTTTGTTATATATATATATATATATATATATATATATATATATATATATATATATATATATATATATATATATATATATATATATATATATATATATATATATATATATATATATATATGTGTGTGTGAAGTAAAGATTGTTGCTCAAGCTTGTATTCAGAAAATATCTGAACTCCCAACGGGAATCGAACTCGTGTCTCCCGATTGCCGTGTTCGGTTGTTTTACCACTAGACTATAGGGTTTCAGACAGCAATGCGATGTTAACTAGAGACCTGGTTCTACCATTTATATATGTCCTTTGTACTTAAAGGCTCATCATACTATTTTGTACAAAATATAAATATAACAACGCACGTTTTACAACAAAAGAGCTGGTTTCTATAGAGGGTATATTTTGGGACGCCCTGTATATAAAAAGATGCCGCATTATAATTGTTGCGTTTCAGGCTGCACAAATAACTTTAGGAATGTAGGAGAATTTCCTAGATGCCATATTCGGCATGTTGTTTATTTTTTATCCCTCGATCCAAACAAGCGACTAGACCCAGTCCTCTGCTCGATTGGGAAATGCTAATTGTACCTTCTGGTAACCTTCTGGTAACTTCTGGTACCTAAGTACCACCCTCGGTCCCAGGGCCTCACGGCTGACACCTTAGGCAACGCAGTGTCAGCCGTGAGGCCCTGGGACCGAGGATACTGACCATCTATGGTACTGACATTATACTTAATTAGCAAAATATTACAGCTGGATCGAGCTAACATGCACGCAATGTGTCGACTCGGTGATCGTGTGAGATGTTTGGCTGTTGAATGACAGGTTTTTCACCATTACAGAGAACAATTGAGCAAATACGAGTCCGATAAAAATTGCTTGTCGAAATCGCATATTTTCACGACGAATGCGCCTAATTTAAGCAGTGCATATATAACACAAGGAAAAGCAATTCATCAAGAATGTGTCATTTTAGCAATGAGCTCAGAGCTGGTTTTCAAGATGCTTATAATAATTATGCATACGCAAGTTATTGAAGTGAAATTCATCAACTTAAGTCCTAAAGGGAGTTAATTTTCAATAGTTTTAGACCCAATTCTTAACTGTGAAAATATGCGAGTTCGACTAACAATTTTTATCGGACTCGTATTTGCTCAATTTTACTTTATAATGGATGAAAAACATGTCCTTCATTCTTCAACTCTGTTGAACCAAAAGCCTGATCTTTATGATTATGAAAAATATTCATACGTTCATATATACACCAAGTAATTAACGCGGCACAATGGCATGCTAAAGTTGGATTGCTTTTTTTTTGAGACACCTGTAGAATTATATATTAGAGTCAGTATTCCCTCGTGTAGATCATTCTAAAGCATCCTGTTTCAAACGTCGCGCTTCTCATGTGCAGAACGCATTACAAACAATAGATATCATTATCTATTGTTTTTAATGACGGTTCGGCACATGAGAAGCGCGACGTTTGAAACAGGCCTTAGTTGCCTTTGTTCTATTTTATGCTTTTGTAAACTACAGTACTGCATAGTACACTATGTACTCAATAGTTAACTATAGGCGTGTGAGTTGACTGGAATTGTGAATTGAGTATAATCAAACGACGTTAACCAAATTTGTCTAAATCGAAGATATAGATCTATATAATATACTTATATGTTTTGGCTTTCTTTCAAAGATTTGAAGATGTATTTTGAAAAACAGAAATTCAGGAACCGATTTGGTAAGTGTTTTCAAGTAGTCCTTCACTTTGTAGACGCAATTTGAAAACCTTCTCTTCAAAAAACTCTTTGTTCATGCAGACAGGAATTCGCGAAGCATGTTTTGAATCGCAAATATACAGTGTTCCGGTGTAGTTAGTGTTCAAATTCTGTCAATAGTAAACTGTTTTCAGTTGTATAACCACCTGAAAAAGATCTTCGACAAAGGGTCTTCACTTTCACCGAAACAGCCATCTATAAAAACAATTCAATAGCTGTACATGCAAACAGTCGTACACGTTTTCCTTGACTTAAGTTTCTTCGTGAGTTTTGTTTTGCTCGTGAGTCGTGTATCCAGCCAACACGATTCGTTCACGCAACGACCGGAGACATGCACGTGTATATTTCGTTGTATAAAAGCTGGTTTAATATACCAGACAAAACGAAATACGTACAGTATATATAAGCCAAATAGGCCATCGCCATCTTGAATCTATTGTTTTCACCATTGTGCTTGCATCCCCTCCAAATTTACCTACCATTCTTTTGTGTTTCACATTATGGCGTCGTTAACCTTGGAAGGGTCTATTCGGGGTTTTTGTGTCCGGATAAATTGCAGGGGCCAATTGTTCAAAGGTGGGTTAGCGCTAACCCTGGGTTAAAATTTAACCTGTTGTTTTAGTTTGTGTATTTCTGCACGTCTGTATTTATTTCAAATTTTCAGGGAAGTAAACTCCTATCGATTCAGACAAGATCTCTGAAGAAACATTTTAGACAAGCTGTCACGAAGTTTGCTTTGAATTTTAGGTTAACGTAGGGTTAAGCTAATCCACCTTTGAACAACTGGCCCCAGATGAATTATAACATGTATATAGCTGAAAGTATTAGAATGTGCATGGCAAAGTACAATTTAGTTGTTTAATAATTTGTGTTTCACTTATACAGGGTGTCCCAAAACCCCCCAAAACTATTGAAATAACGTATTGTTAGAATTTGAATGTCTCAAACTCTGCTGAACCCACACTAGTGTATAAAAGCTTGAATAAATAAATTGTATGCACAAAGAAACTGTTTAAGAAGCTGCTTTGAATTCCCAAGAGCAGAAAATCGTGCGCTTTACAAAGGTATTTGAATTTCTTAATATAAGTCAATATTTATAATATATGCACCCTGTCAGTATTTTACGCATCTTTGCGTTCAGCCTAGCGCCAGGGCATTCAAATTCTAACAATACGTTATTTCAGTAGTTTTGGGTTTTTTTGGGGGGACACCCTGTATAACCACAATAGAACTGTCATTAAATATTTTTTGTATAGCATATATCTTCTGTGTAAAGCAAAGTGGAGGAAGATACACTTAAAGAATATATTTTTTTCATTTAAAGCGCATCAATCCTGCGGAAACTAATCGTTCTTTGAGGAACCTTTGCATATTCACTAATGAGGATTGAATGGTTGAATATTTTGACATGCATGTATGTACAGTGTGTATTTTGACATGCATGTATGTACGAAACTCAAAGAAATAACAATTAGAAAATTTAAAAGTTTTTAAGAGTTTTGTCCCATGAGTACAAGACCTTGTGTTATTACCCAACCAATAATTCAAAGCAATTAGACCTGTCAAATGGACCTTTCCCCCTATAACTAAAATTTTGATCTAGACTCTTTCACAGCTTGAAAGAGCATCACAAAATTAGTAATATTCCAAAGTTTTGTTGCAAAATCTTGTAAAATGCGGATAATATAGCCTTGCGAAGTTTGCCGTTTTTCAGTCATTTTGTATTACAAACGGGAAATTGACATCCGATTCGGGTGTTGGGGCTGCAATTTCCCGTTTGTAATGTAAAATGACTGAAAATTGCAAACTTCGCAAGGCTCTATTTTCCTCATTTTACAACATTTCGCAACGAAACTTTGGAATATTACTAATTTTGTGATGCTCTTTCAAGCTGTGATGAAATATTTGTCTAGACTTGCCTAGATCAAAATTTTGGTTATAAGGGGAAAGGTCTATTACTACAATACGTTATAGCTAATTTTAATTTGAAAGGGTTCAGTTTTTTTATACACCCTGTATATTTTAATTATTCCAGACAGTCACAGGTACATGTTATAATAGTTCACCTGCAATTTATCACAGAACGCGTAATTTGGATGTACATATGCAGTGGAAATTCAGATTGCATGCCTTCATCAGTCCTATTGACTAAAATGAATGAACAGTATTAAAATTGAGTTAGGTTCTATTCTTTCCGTCAATAGAGACCAAAACTCAAATACAAATTAATAATCAAGTCCTGTGATACATCTATTGAATTAAATTTTATACTTATAATTAGCTCAGTGGACAGTGATCAACTCGGTTAAATGTCTTAAGGCTGGTTAATTTACACTATCACAGTTTCTGTGATCACGGTAGGACTATTTTACATGGGTAAGTTCTAAGTTTGGAAGGATTTGTAAGAAATGTTTGAGGAAACCGACTCAGTGTTGAACAGTAGAGAGGTTAAGATACGGTGTACGGGTACGAGTAGTGTCATCTTGTTTTACTGATGTCTGTATTTCGATCCGGCATACTTTTTCTGTTTTCTTGCAATAGACAATGATAGGCCTATAATGCGGAAAATGTGCACCGTAATTACGAGTAAAGGTACAGACATCGACGAAAATATTGCTAACCAAAATCATGCTACCCGTGCACGTACACCGAAACCGGGGTATCTTAACCTCTCTAAAAGTCAATTCCCTCGAACATTTCTTACAAATCCGTCAAAAGTAGAATTTATACCAGTATGCAAAATTCCTATACTGTGGTCACAGAAACCTTGATAGTGTTTGAACCATACTTTAGTTAGTTTAATACTTACCTTGACTGTTAAAACAATCATCCGGGTATCTCCGTCACCGTCCATGATATACCAGAAAGCTTCAGATGGAGAAGAATTCAACTACCTAAGAATGCAAGCAAAATTTCCACGTTTCCAGCGAAAGCCTTCATCCAGAAGTTAGTAAATAACTTCGCTCGAAGCATCGAAGTTTTGCTTGCATTTTTTAGTTAGTTGAATCCCTCCAAAGACTCAAGCTTCTGTTGTTATTGGCACATATGCACCGTCCAAGTTTACATCCATGATATACTAATATGTATCAAACCAAACTGAACACATGCAAAATTATACTTTGTTTACTCTTCAGTGCTAAAGGTCCATGACTACGATCTTAGGGGGAGAGACATGCATGTAATATATTTGTTTGCGTGGAATAACTAGCATATTTCTACACAAGGACCGTTTGTTCGATCCCTTCGTGTTTATGTTTGTTGATTCTACTCAGTAACCAAGGTTTGATGTCGATATTTCGTACGGTAATTAAAAATTCCAAGGGACTTGCTGCTTATAGTCTGATGTCAGCTCAAGAGGCCTCTTTAGCCCCTGCTACATGCGTCGGCAGAATGACTCCATGATCTAAACATTGGTGTTGCTAACTTTTGACAACTGTATGCTTATTGCTTTTTTCACTTGCGCGACGATGCGTTGCATTTAATAAAGAGACTCTTATTGACTGTACAAAATGAAGAATTATGCATGTAACCATTTGTCATTCGACAATTACATGAATCATATATAATTTCATAGTTCTCTATTGTTTAACAATAATCCTTGAATTCTTCTTTGTACCATTACAATTTGATGTCCAGTTCTTGATATCCTCAGTTACGGAGATAAAAATAGCGGGAACATTTGAAGATTTCGGTGAGCTATCAAAGTTTCTGTGATCACAGTATAAGAATTTTGCAAGGATTATGTCAGAAATCGCTACTTGTATTATATATTTTAAATTATAGTTTCTAAATAACGTCACCAATTAGCTATATAGTTAAATAACTTTCATCACTGAAATAAACTTTATTATTATTATTAAATGTTTGAGGGAAACACAAAGTAAGTTCCCTCAAACATTTCTGACAAATCCTTCAAATTCCATGCTGGCTGCTGTGTTCCTTACATTCAATAACTTGACAATGGCGTTCTTCAAACAAAGGGGAACCCAGCAGCAAGTATAATTTCTCTATTTCAAACAACTGCTATAATTTCGTAAACAAAATTTGCATTTCCAGGAATTGGAAATAAAAATTAAAACTATAGCAACTTTGGTAATATCCATTTATAACTCCAGAATTATTAGCAAATCCAGCCTACAATAAACCGTGCACGAAGAATAATTAACTGCAATCAATATCTAATAACTTTCTTTCCGCCGGTTACATTCTAATATACCTCGTAACCCCTTTAGCACTGTTCAAACAAGCCGGTTTCCAGAACAACCGGGAATCCAAGGCTATTTTACCTGGAAACGCCTTAATATCACAACCGAATTTCTGAATTTAAAACTTAGTTACCATTTGGTCGCAACAACTATTTTAACTGACCACATCTTCTGTTGCGTAGCAACCACAAACAACAGTACTTTTAGCCAAAATTGCTATATGAAAAACAAATTTAATTTGACCTTAATTCAATTTTTGATGTAGAACTCACAGTCATAGAACTAAAATTAGAGACATTGCATGATTGAAAATGAACAAGATCGTCCCCAGATCGTCTTTGTGTAGTCCCTCGTAGTTGGTCTGAAGAAAGCTTTGGCTTTGAAATAAAGTCGAAATATAACCATTATACAATTTTGTCTTGATTTTTATTCACGTGCTTTGGATTTTAAAGATCTATATGTTCGGTATGTGTTTTAATCCATATTAGTAGCACTATTCAGCGATTGTGTGGTAGGCCTAATTAACACCTTCCTTTTGTAGTAATATCCTCTTCCCATTCCAAAACATCGTGAAACATTATTAATATAACCAAAAATCACACAAAGAAGCAATGAGGAGACCCTTTGAAACAATTAAAATAAGATTATAGAATTATTGACAGAAGAAATTTAATTTATATGGCCATGACGTTTGGGTATTTGCATTACTCGTATATAATATTACCCCCCAAAGTGTGAAATGCCGAAGACATCCAAAAACACTGTTAATTTTTCCATTTATCAATTTATATTCCATGATTATTATGTACAGATGTATAGTGGAGATTTTTCAGCTAATGCTTCATATAGCGATAAAATGCAATATATATAAATATATATGTACAGGTTTACCCTTAGGCTATATACTGTGATTTTTGACAATTATATCACATATGCAATTTTTCGCAACCTAAGATTATGCTACCATACTTAAATTATAATAACCTATACATGCAAGGTTTCAAATATAGGGCAACGCAATGTCTATTGACTATACTGACAATTACTGTAAATCGTACTCATGAGAAACAGTTAAATTTAAAAAAAGACTGCATTCATTCTGAACACTGCTGCAGAGCCGTAACTGGTACATGCATTTTTCTCTTTTAACACTTCATTTAAACGATTTGTATTTTCATCAGTCAAGCTTCGTCAAATATAGATAGCTTGTCATGCAGAATAAAAACTGTATAATAACGAACCTTTAACATTTCCTTTTCAAAACGAAGAAGATCTGCATACGGTATATGTACATAACAAATATTACAACTTAACGTGAGATTTCACAACAATTTAGAGTAGTGGAAATAAAAAAAAGACAATGTAAATTGCAAACAATATTGCCTGATGAAGTAACAGTCTGCCTAACGGATAATGAAATATTATCCTTCCAGTCCTTTTCCGAGTTTTAAAAACTTTTGGCAAGTTTCAGTTGGTGGCATCAGGTTTAAGTTATAATTTGCTCAAATATTTCTTGCGAGTAAGGCCAAGATGATTATGTGGTAGTATGCTATACCTTTGTTTAAGAAAAGACAAAATTCCGGGGGTGAGAGTGGGAGGAATCGCCCCGTATCAACTTCATTTACAGAAAGGAACACCCATACTTAACTTCTCATTTTTAACACAAATTTACTATTACTATAATAAATGATCAGTTGATCTTGCAAATGCATGGTTGGATAATTCCTTTATCCCATCCTTGCAGTCTTTACCGACTGATATCTAACCGCTCCCCTCCTCCTTTTTGGAAAGGACAATAGGTCGTGATGGACTGGCTTTCCCAGTCACCCATGATGCAGACACCGGTCGCTCCAAACTGACAAGGTTGTCATAACAAAACAATATCACTTGTTTGCGGCAAAGCATTGCAATAATGTCCTCCTTTCCATAAAAGCATCAAATTTTACACCTCAATAAGAAAGATCTATGCAACAACATTGATACCTTAAAATCGAAATTGGAAAAAAATATAAATCTGAAAGTTTCGGTCGGAACACTACCCTTATATGTCACTTAACTTTAAACGCTGGTCAAATATCATCAAATGCCTTGAATCGGGTTATTACAGCAATCTCGAAGAGCATACCAACAACACTTAAAGCAACATCACCGGCCCTTTTTTGATACATTATTTTGACAACGATAAACGACTGTCGTTACATAATCGAGTATAAAAACGGAGTCATCGCGCTCTGTTCTTCAGTATATGCGAAATAACCTGGCCAGTGACATGAAGATTACAGCGACCTTGGCTTGTGTCCTTTTCACTTTTGGAGTTCTCACAATCTGCAATGGCCGGAGTATACGGTCCGCGGAGAATATGCCTCACGCGAATGTGACGACGGAGGTGAAAAAGGTCGAAGACATGTGAGTTCAATTCTTCTTTTTAGAAACTAAACAAAAAATTGTTTGAACTGAACCTTGAGAATCTACAGAACTGCCTATTTCAGGAGTTCAAATACTGTTCAAAAAGATACGTAAAACTACGAAGAATTTGTAACTCTGTTATCTTATATTGACTTATAGTAAACCCTTTTTTGTTGTTGTGTCAAATTTAAGATACTTTCTCACATGAATCACCCCCATTTCACCCATTTTTTTTGGATAACTAGAAGTAGTTTCAATTTCTGATTTTATTTCTGAAAGTGTGAGTTCAAATCCTGGCCGAACATTTTTGTTATATTCCGTCTTTTCAGACAAAATACGATATCCAGTTCCCTAATAATTATATGATATCACACGTTGAATGATAATATGTAGACTGTGGTACTTTATATTGTCTGTATATCAATTCGCATAATTTGTGGAATAGCTTTATCGCATTGAAACTTACATAGATTTAAATTCTTTTTTCCGTATTATCAAAATGTATGAGCGCATATAAATTCAGCCAACCATGAGTTCAAAATGTTATTGCGTGCATGAGTGATTACACGCACAATATTATATTGCACAATTTAACGCGTGTACACAACTACACACAGTAGTTGCTCAATGTATGCGTGCATGCGGAAGCGATTTCGGATGGTTTTATGGCGAAGTTGCGGGTTCGTCGGAGCATGGATGTTTTTGAAATGGACTAATAGAAATCAGGTTGGTGCAAGTATTTTTATAGTATTGATATATTATTTACTGATTATGAACGTCTACGGCTGGTTTAGGCTATTAAAGTTTCTTGGATCAAAGTATGCATATAGTCTCCGACACATGCCAACTTAGCGGAACTGACACAACTAGTAAATCTCTTACATTGGTGCGAAGTCTTCTCGTCAATCTTGTGATCACAGAAACTTTTAGAGCATAAACCAGCCTAGTGAAGATTGTTTTAGTATCAGTTATATGTTTAGACGGAGTTTAGTGGGATTTGAACTCGCAATTTCGAAATCACCAGTAAATCTCTGTTCCTTAGATCTGAAGTGAGGATTACTGGCCATCATACAATATTTTGAAAGATAGGGAACGTTTGTTGTTTGAAAGTAAAATATTTGACAAGATATGCCTTGCTATGCAACATTTACATAATATTTCGTGCAAAGGTATTTTCCATGTTATATAGAAGTGTTTCTCCCGTTTCCTTGGCGATGGTATTTTGTAGTTAGGAGTTGCTAATGAAGTTCGACCAAATTGGTCTGTCACCTCAAATATGCATGCTAATTAAGATTTGATTCAACACATGCATTGTAATACTGATATTAAATTTGCTTTCCTGTGGAATTATGTCATCTATTTTGACAATATCTGTTACGCAAATGTGTAGGTCCATATTTTGCAGTCGGATTTGTATTTCAAACGAAAAGTAACAATCATTTTATCCCGCGAACAATGTTTTAGCTTAAGTGCCAACAACATAGAAAGGTTTTTTAAAGAAAGTTTTAGAAAAATTTGCTTGCACATGTATTCTTGTTGGTATTATCTTTGAAACAGATAGATAAAGGCCAAAAAGATTGTCTTAGTTGCCACCAGGTTGCTGAGAGATCGGTGAAATGAGGTTCTTTTGTTTCAAGGGTTGCTCCACCGCCTGTGACAACAGAGGCGGACACGAATATTGATGCGGACAGTGACTTGGACGAAGATGCGGACTTGGACGAAGATGCGGACTTGGACGAAGATGCGGACTTGGACGAAGATGCGGACGTTGAAGATGTGGATGCAGATAGTGAAAACGCTGCCGACGATGCTGATGAAGATGGAGAAACAGATGTTGATTCTGACGGCGACGCTGAAGAGGATGCAGATCACGATGACGTCGATGACCTCGATAATAATGATGATTATGGTCACGATGATGTTGATGATGACGATGATGCTGGTGATGATGACGATGATGCTGGTGATGATGTCGATGGTGATGATGCTGGTGATGATGCTGGTGATGACGATGATGATGATGATAATGATGATGGTAATGATGATGGTGATGATGGTAATGATGATGACGACGACGATGGTGATGACGACGATGATGATGATGATGATGACGATGTTGACGTTGTTGACGTTGTTGACGATGACGACGATGATGACGATGACGACGACGATGACGACGATGACGACGACGATGACGACGATGACGACGACGATGACGACGATGACGATGACGATGGCGACGATGATGATGATGATAGCGATGCTGATGATGCTAGCGAAGGACTGTTATCGAACAGGTAGGTGCTGATCCGTACTATACCTAGTTCCTTTTCTTTCACGCTTTCAGGTATCATTCACATGTGTGTGATCTTACTCTGTATCTTAATAACATTGTTGTTTTGTATTATGTAGTGAGGGAGTAGAAATGGCCCCACCAATGACGAACAACGCTGCTAAAGGTGACGCAGGCGTTCTTCAGTGGCTCAAGAGCATCATAAAGAAAGGTAAGAATTTGCATAGCTGATATTTATCATATATTGTTTGTAATAGGAATTTGAAATTTGAAGTTCATCTACTTTGAAAACCATGTAATAATATCATCATCACTGCTAAAGATAAAAAGCCATTTAACATATCTATTTAAGTTTGACCTGAATTCAAAATTGATTTTTGTATTTTTCAAATGTTTAGCATTGGTTGGAAAGAAATCTGGAGCTGGCCTTCTTGTAGAAGAACCAGACGAGGCTGAGCCGGCAGAACCTGCTGAACCGGCAGAATTCGAACCGGCTGAACCGGCAGAATTCGAACCGGCTGAACCCGGTGATATTGAAGGACCACGTAAGTTATTAGTTTAGTTGTGTCTGTATTTTTGCACTGCATGCACGTATCTAATCCCTTTCTTACGACGTATGAGTATGAACATAAAATTTGCGGCGAGCATGTAGACTCTTACCACTAAGTTAAACATGGTCAGATGGTGCAAAAATTGTACATATCCTCAGATGTGGATTATCCGACATTTAGACTAGTGCCCAATCGAGGATGGAGCCAATAAAATCACCCATTTAATACTGCCTTCATTTTTTGTTCAGTCTTAGATCCTTGAGTTACCACTGATATCATTGGGAAGACGATCAAGACCGTTTCATTAGCTTCACTGCTGGACAATGCCAAGCTGATGGATCAAATAATATATATTTAGCTTTTTATTTAAGCATATGTGGCTTCAGTTAATTTTGGGTTTCATAGTTTGTAGTTTTGTAGCTATTAATAATCGGGTTTATTCTATTTAATAATCGGGTTTATTCTATTTAATAATCGGGTGTAGTTGTACTTAAAGTTGTGATTATTAAAGTTTTTGAACTGACCTGGTTGTACATGTGGTAATATTCTACAAATTCGCTTATGGTATTTCTTAATTTTTTGTTTGGAGTTGATATGCAGCAACTTTATCAGTGATGGCTCCCACGGAAAAACCTGGCTCGTATCTGTTTATTTTTCTGAGCTTATCTGCTTAGCCATTTTTAAATATGCCGTCAATATTTTTCTTCAGTGCTTTCAACTCCACAAATTATGCGTTTGAATACATACACTTTCAAATTGCAGTAGTTTGCATGTCAGTTGTATTTATTTGATGGCGTACATTCAACTAGCACATCTGTACACAGGCTTCTTCATTGGAAGAACAGGTTACCATTGTGCATATTGTTAATTTGCTTTTAAAATTACTTTCAAAGAAATGCTATACCCGAGACGGGCGGCCATGAAAATGTAAATAATGCTGAGGGTGAAGCTGGTGGTGCTGATAGTGCGTCAGAAAGTAACGCAGATCAAGACGCCGATGCTGGCGCCGAAGCCAACGATGTAGCCGATGATGGAGCAGATGATGCAGCAGATGACGATGCAGGAGATGACAATGGAACCGATGATGCTGCCGATGATGATGGAGCAGATGATGATGCAGCAGATGATGATGGTGGAGATGATGATGGCGCCGATGATGATGGCGCCGATGATGATGGCGCCGATGATGATGGTGCCGATGATGATGATGCCGATGATGATGATGCTGCTGATGACGATGGAGATGATAATGGTGCCGATGATGATGGCGCAGATGACGATGCTGCTGATGATGATGGTGCCGACGATGATGATGGTGCCGATGATGATGATGGTGCTGATGATGATGATGGAGATGATGATGATGGAGATGATGATGATGGTGCCGATGATGATGATGGTGCCGATGATGATGATGCCGATGACGCTGATGATGATGATGGAGATGATGATGATGGTGCCGATGATGATGATGGTGCCG